GTTTCCACACTAATATCATCACTTTCCCTGTATCTGGGATCAGGGGAGAAAAAAAGGGAGAAACCCCACTCAGCTCCCCACCCATCCCAGGTCCCCGATGTGAGGCACGCTGAAGCAGTCTAAAGGTCCTTCTAAACAGGATGGGAAAAAAACACCTCTTCATCGGTAGTGTTGCTTTTAGCTCCTCATTTTATGTGTCCTGAGTGGCCAAGATTGGAACAGAACGTTAACAGGTGAAGGCTAGAACTGATTTGATCCATTGAGTGTCCTTTGAGAAATACCTAAGAGCTGGACGGTTGAGTTCCTGTTCCCTGGAGGGAAGCCCGTTTGTGTCCAGCATTGCCTGATCCTGTTCCCTAAGGAGCGAGGAGTCCCTAAGCTAGTCCTTGATGGGTTCATCGGGACGTCAGAACGGGGTGGGCTCACATGCAACTTGCGCTTGTTTTCTGGGTAAATTTTCACTCACAATCAGTGAAGCTGTCAAAATAAGTCCTGCTGCTTGCAAGAGAGCCTGGGAATAGGGCTAAATAAACTGATTGCCTATCTTCTTGAGAAAAGGGTTACTGTAAAAGTGGTACTTCAAGCCAATAATAAAGCATAATCGTGAAATGGTTTAGCTTTAATGTCTTCAGCTTTTTATATCATGGTTCACTAACTAGTACCGTGAAAACTCCCTTGCTCCAACCAGAGATTCTGGACTGTGTTTTAGCATGTAACTTTTCACTTTTGTATCTCATTAGCTTGTGTTTTTGGTAGAGTTATTTTTTAAAATGATTTTTTCTCTGAGAAGCAGAGAGAACTGTAATTGGGAGCTGGGGATTCAATCCAGGTCTCCAGTGTGCATTGTAAGAAGCCAGCTACTTGAACTGTCACTGCTGCTCCCCAGGGTCTGCATTAGTAAGAAACGGGAGGCAGAGCTCGTGCTGAAGCCCAGCTACTCCAGCGTGGGTTATGTGCACCTTCAGTGCTAGTCACAAAGAAACATCTACCCCAGTAATCAACTACTCCCCAAAGACAAATATGTTTTCCTCTAATCTGTGGGAACTAATGCACAAAGTACAAAAATGTAATCTATAGGTATGAGGTGACATTCTGGGATTTCATTATTCATCCAGGAAATAGTCGGGTTTTTGCTTTGATTTTTTGTTGTTGTTGTTTGTTATTATTACTTTCTACTTGCAAAGTATTGCTGCCTTTTCTTTACCTAATGCAATGTTAAACCTGTGATTGCAAAATTAAGTGAATGTATACTGTTGTAAAAACTAAGGAAAAGAAGAAATAAGGAGAGAAGAGTGGGGGGGGGTGCAGGCAGGAGTAGGGGAGGATGGGATGGAAAACATCAGTGAGCTCCTAAGCCTGGATTGCAGGGTCAGTGAAGTGTGTCCTCGTGATAAAAATGAAAAAGCATTAATTAATTAAAAGGTATTCATAATACATTGTAGGTAACAAATATTTTTAGGCAGATAAGTACAGATTTCAGAGTTAAAACTGATAATATTTTTACAAACGGAAAATAAACTCTTAGGACATTGTGGTAAATTTAAAAACCAAGCGGGAAAAGCAAACAGATTTGGAAAGGGTGTGATAGCAGTATTTGAAAATAGCAGACTGAAGACAGATTTGTCTTTGCTTACTGTTCTCAGTAACTGGAAGTTCCCAACACTCAAACTTTAATTTTTCTGTCCCCTGGAATTTCTAACAAATGATTATCTCTTAGTATATATCCTGCCTACTTGTCCAATACACTCACCGTCACCCAAACTAGAGAAAGTACAGGGAATTAAAAAGAGGTTCAAAAACCACACGGAGAGGTTAGAAGGAATCTGAGTATTGGGTTTGATTCTGAGCTTCCTCTAAGAATAAAGAAGAGCAACACAGCTGACGTTGTAAGACAAAATAAAGCACGATAACCAGTGGTGATTATCAGACTTTTCCAATACTAACAATAAGACATTTCATAGGCATTTTACATCAAATTTAGGAATATCTCGTGTTTTGCAAAGATAGACCAGATTTTCATGACTTTAAATTTGTAACATTTTATCATCATCTCATATTGAGAAAGAAATATGTATGGTTTCAAATAATGTGGTTATATTTAACATGGACATGGAAGTTTACGTTTGCTAAAAAGATTCATTTTTTAAATAGAACTCTAGAGACACAAAATCTTAAAAGTCATCATCTTTCTGTTTACAGATCAGATTAGATAATCATTTTCATTTCTTTTAGTATAGCAAACCTTGGTGTTTTAAAAATGTCTTGAAAAGTATTTTTTACATGCTTATTTTTAATTTTCATTGGAAAAGTCAGATTTACAGAGAAGAGAGAGAAAGATATTTCATACATTGATTCATTCCCAAAATGGCCACAAAGCTGAGGCTGATCCAATCCGAAGCCAAGAGCCAGGAGCTTCTTCTGGGTCTCCCTTGTGGGCATATGGTCCCAAGGCTTTGGCCCATCCCCTACTGCTTTCCCAGACCACGAACAGAGAGATGAAAAGGAAGTGGAGCAGCTAGGGCATGAAATTGGTGCGCACATGGGATCCTGGTGCTTGCAGGGCAAGTATTTAAATACTGAGCCTTTGTGCCAGGCCATTTAAAGTATTTTTTAAGATGACAATAAATAATGTCAGTGATTTTTTATGTTTTATTTCACTGATTTTTGACATGTAAAACACTGTTACATAAGAGATTAACTGAAACCACTTTTTAAAAACAATTTTAGAGGGGTTTTTTTTAAGTTTTTGATTTTTTGAGAAAAAATTATCCAGTAAGCAGCTGAGTGGTTTCTGGCGTACAGTTGGTCCTTCTCTAAGCATATCCAACAAAATGTTAAAAATGATTTGTCACCTTTTGTACAATTATTAATACAAACTGAATTTTATTTACCAGGAGTCTTTACAGTAATTTGCCGCAAAATTAGCATTTACTCTGGAAATGAAGCAAAGATCATGATATTTGATTTATGATTAGTAATTATTCCCTAATATGGCTGCCAACTTAAGAATACTTGAATTATGTTTTTACAGTTTTTATAGGGAAAAGTGAGCCATTCAGTGCATATAGAACCTGAAAAGAAAGAAATTAATAACAGTTTTATGTATATATATGTATATTACAGTTGATAGCTATAATACTTAAAAAAATGAGGTGTCTGGGTAGCTCCGTGCCATCCAATGTTTCTGTAAGCTGGTCTGAGTAAGGAAGCCTGGGGCTTTAGCCACTTCTACAACTTCAGTAGAGTAGTAATGTTTATCGTCACAATCAAGAAGATGGAGTGCTTACTTTCCTAGAGACCTTGCTGGTAGAAAAAGAGTAAAGCATACATTTAAAACTTTGTCTAAGAAGTACCAAACTTGGGAAGTTTTGTAAGACATTTAGTGGCACCAGAGTACCTTTGAACATTTCAGAGAAAGCCGTGGGGACTTATGGACCAAGTTCTTTTACAAAAATGCTTTCCATCACAAGAACTTCGAATTTCAGCATGTTGGGGATTTTGGAAGAACTGCAAGTATTGTGAGATATGTGGGTGACAAGATGTCAATCTAAATCAAATTCTTTTATAGAGTCCAGCATGATAGCCTATTGACTAAATCCTAACCTTGCATCTTACAGGAGTCCATGTGGGTGTTGATTGGATACTGGCTGCTCCAGTTCCCTTCCAGCTCCTTGCTTGTGGCCTGAGAAAGCAGTCCAGAACAGCCCAAAGCCTTGGGACCCTGTGTCCACATGGGAGACCCAGAAGAAGCTCCTGGCTCCTGGGTTCGGATCGGCTCAGCTACAACCATTGTGGCCACTTGGGAAGCGAACCTGTGTACTGGAGACCTTCCTCCTGCCTCTCCTTCTCTCTGTGTAAATCTGAACTTTCCAATAAAAGATAAATCAATCTTTAGCATTTATTTATATTTAGTGTAGCCCTTGAATGTACATCCTGAAGATAATTTTATATAAATTATTGATACTTATAAATTATGAGATGATTTTGCTGATGCAGAGTTTTCGACTTGTCAACACTCAAATTGAATTTTTAGATTAGGGATGCCTAGCCTGTATATTACTGAAAAGTAATTTTTTTCTATATTTAATACATGTATGCATAACTACATAGACACTCCCTCTTACGTTTCAGAGTTTATTTTCTAGTATGTTAGGGTAAAAATATGTCACAGTCATTTAAAAATTACTTGTTTATTTTTAATTAATGTTTAAGCTTGAAATATTAAATAAGCTCTTCAATTGTTAAAGTTCTACAAGAGAGAAATAAGAATTTTTGTCTTTAAGAATCTGTTTATCACTAAAATCACCATTCTCAGTGCTAAATCTATACTGTTAAATCCAGGAGTAAATTTTTTCATTCTTTTTGCTTCCATGTTTCCCCTTCCTTTTTTTCCCTAAGATATATTTCTTTTTACTGGAAAGGCAGATTTGCAGAGAGAAGGAGACACAGAGAGAAAGATCTGTCTACTGGTTCACATCTCAAATGTCCACAACGGCTGGAGCTGAGGTGATCAGGAGCCTCCTCCAGGTCTCCATCCGGTACAGGGTCCCAAGACTTTGTGCCTTGCTTGACTGCTTTCCCAGGCCACAATCAGGGAGCAAGAGGGGAAGTGGAGCAACTGGGACACAAACCTGTGCTCATTGGGATTCTGACACTTGAAGGTAGAGAGTTAGCCAATTGATCCATTGCGCCAGGCCCATGTTCTCCCTTTTTATCATTCAATCTTCCATCTCCAAGTTCTTCCATAGTTTTCTGTCCAAAGTTTAAGTCACAACAAATGAAATAAACAAATGGTGATGGATAGATGAGTGGATGATGATAAGGTTTCAGGCTTGGGGCATCTTTCTGATAAGACATTTACCCAGGACTTGGTCTGTGTGCTACCTGACCTGTCCTGTCACTGAGTGAGTGAGGTGGATTCTACCTTGAACTTGCTTAGTAGCGTATCCTAACCACTAACATGTTAATTAACAGTCTTCTTTTGTCACTTATCATTCTAGACGGAAAGAGCGTATTCCTTTTGTGGAACTATTGAGTACATGGCACCAGATATCGTCAGAGGGGGAGATTCTGGACATGACAAGGTATGTTCAGTTTTTGAATAAAATGTATAATGAGAATCATAGTTACTACCCTGGGGTTTAAACTTTCAACACTGACCTCTGTCTGGTATTGTCTCCCTCCACTACTGACCCTTTGCTTCTGCTTTCTGTCCCTTAACACGTTTTGATATCCAGTGTTTCGAAGAGAAATTATAATAAGGAAATTAAGGAAGGCTAGAGTGATCTGTGATACCCTTAAACAGAAAACACTGAGCTCTCAAGGGAACCAGCTCCCACCTACTGGTTCACACGCCTAAATGCCTACAACAACCCAAGGCAGAGCCTGGCCTGTCTAGGTCTCTCAAATGGGACCTAGCTGCTTAAGCTGTCCTCTTCACCTGCCTGCATTAGCAGAAAGCTGGAGTCAGGTGTGGCTGTGGGAATGGAACCAACATGGGACATGGGCACACCAACCAGCATCAGAACTACTGGGACAGTGGCTGAACCCAGTTTTCATTTTTTAAAGGTTTATTGGTGATGGTCTTGTTTGTTTCATAGAGTAACTCTTGATCCCTTCTAGGCCTTTTTTTTGGCTAAGATCAGGTGCATGGAGTAACATTTAAACCTGGTACCTCAGAACTGACAAGTTCGTAACATAATTAAGAGCCTGTATCTTAAGGGAAGCAGCAACTGTGACGCTTAAAAAAGGAATATTCTGCCAAGTGGTACCTGGGCTTTTACTACACAGGTGAACCACTGCACAATAAAATGTGTTCCTTGCTCCTGTGTGAATCATGATGACTGCCTTAGGACGGTGCTTTTTGGCATTGCCGATTTCTGGTAGAAAAACAGATACATAACCATGTGTATCTCCTGTACCTAGATCAGACCCCTTATCTGCAAGGACCATGAATGTGAATTCAAACAACCTCAGATTGAAAATGCTTGGGAAGAACATTGTCTCTGCTGAGTATGTGTAGACTTTTTCCTTGTCTTTACTACCTAAGCAGTGCAGTATAAGATCTATTTATAGAACACTTTACAGCCCATTAGGTATTATAATTAATCTAGCTATGACAAAGGATATAGGAAGATGTGCATAATTTACATGCAAATGCTGTGCCATTTGGTGCAAGGGACTTGTGTGTCTGCAGATTTGATAAACGAAAGAGTCCTGAGGCCCATCCCTTGTGACTGTATTTGCTTTCCAGGAGACCAGGAGGGCTGAGTTGAGAGTCTCTCATTGTCAATTCCTGCCCAGAACTTTGCAGAGAGGTACAGGGGCCTGTGTTGACTGCCCTTCTAACAGAATTAAACATTGTGCAGACCTTGAAAAAAAGAAACATCTTTGCATTGGAATCATCTGAGTCTGTTTTCCTAAACTCTTCTTTAAAAATGTCCTTTGGACAGAACAAGTCAGTCAAACCACCTCAGCCATATGTTGGCAGTGAAAAACTGGGCAAATGGAGACTCTAAGATAGACTATGTCAATCAGTAGCTTCTTTAATGACCTCATCATGCTTAGAATGGTAAGATTAGCAGCAATTCATAACTGTTAAACTATCAAAATCACTTGAGCAAAGACCCTCGGAGCATGCCCCACATCAGGGACCTGGGGTGGGTGGGAGACTGGGTGGGGCTTCTCCCTTGAAATCCCCCTTTACCTCAGATACATGAAGAAAACAATGTGGAAATAATAGTCTTACTCCCCGAAAAAATGTCCTTTGGAAGGAGGGGGGTCTTCATTTTCTGTTTGTATGAACAAAATGAAGATGATAAAAGTCACTTTCTAAGTAATTATACTATAAAATCTAGGTCACAGGGCTTTTTTCTTCTTTTATTGAAGAATGTAAAACTTGTTCAGTTTTTTTGTCACACTTTTGCTTTATTAATAACCCTCACCAAATAAGGGAATCTGCCTTTTCCTGATCCTCTTGCCCTCTTCGTCTCCCTTTTTCTCATCCCCATCAGTACTTCCTGTTGGGCGTCTAATATTCCTTCCCATGATCACTTTCCACGTATGCATGGTGTTGCTTTAGGCCCATGCTGGGAATCTGCTTTTGGTCTCTGCGTTGTTTCAAATCCAGCAGCAGAATGTTCTGAGAGTTTTGGCCTAAATGACAGTGAAACTAGTTTGTGTAACTAGACCAGAGCCAAATTGCTGGCTTAGTCTGTTTTGTGGTATTCTTTGAAGCTTTTGGAGAATTTGCTGGGTGGGATTGAACCGTTAGAAAATTATCCAAAAAAAAAATTAGAAAATTATCTTCTAAGATTTAGTAGAATGAAGGAATCAGTTTTTTGGAAAAGAAATCCTTGTTTCCCTTGCAGAATTTCTGCACCCACAGCCTTGAATACAGTCAGCCACTCTTCCTTGCCACCAAGAAGGACCCTGGTGACTCTGAGTTAAATGAGAAAATGTATACCTAGCACTCCTTAGTTCAGTAAATCCTTCTCCTCTCATGATTTCAGTCTCCTTTTCCCTTGTTCCTTTAATGTAGCTTCAGCCTTATAAATTTTGTGTCACCTCTCTGAAACTTCAGCCCTGCCCTGGAATTTAGAAGCAGATAATTTAAAATGTTAACAGCCAGTGAATGTTTCTTACTGGTGTAAGCTCGTCTCTCCGATAGTTATCGAAATCCTGATTGACCTACTTACAAAAGAAGTAAGTTCCATCTTGTTAGGGTTCTTTAAATCCTCAGAGATTGCTGTGTTCTCCCTTCAGGTAAGTGCAATTATAAATTAGTTCCAATTTAAGGCATATTTTATTTTATCCTAGTTCAGATCTCTCCATCAAATAGATTTATTTCACAGATTCTATAAGAGGAACTGATTAAGCATTTATGAAAAGGAGTAACACCTAGATTGAGTTCCCAACTCTGTTTATGTTCTGTGACTTTAAGGGATTTCATAAGGTTTATAGGAACATAATACTCAATTTTTAAAAAATGATAATCATTACTCCCCCATCATAAACCCAAAGATTCTACCTCCTTAAAATTTCAAAAATATTTATTTATTTGCTTGCATATTTATTTGTTTGTTGAATTGGCAAAGCAAAGCTGTGGAGACAGTTTCTGGCTCACTCCTGACATCTATCAGGCCAGGCTAGCACTGGGCTTGGATCCTGGACCTGGCAACTCCGTGGGGGTGCAGGCACCCACCTTGCCTGATCCATTACCACAGCCTCACGGGGTCTACACTGGCCAGAAGCTAGGCTCAGGGCCAGTGCTGGGGATTGAGCCCCCGCACTCCAGTGTGAGTTGTGGCCCAGGATCCACTTCTTAAAAGTTTAAAAACTTATTGCAAATTAGAACTTTCCTAATGTAACATAAAGCTTACTCATTGAGAAAATAATTTTAAAGCTTTCTATGCTAAAGAGACTGGATATTCTGTAAATCTCTTCGTTGCATGTGCTAATTTAATACTTATTGCTCAGGAAGTTAACATGCAAAATCTTTTTGTTAAAATATTTTCCAGAGACAAATATTTGGCCTAGTGATTAAAATACCAGTTAGGGTTTGTCATGATGGCTCCAGCTGCTGACTGCTGTGTGAACTGGGAGGCAAGTGTGACAGCTCAAATGACTGCGTCCTGCCCCCTGCCCCGGAGACCTGGATTGAGCTCTTGGCCTGTGGCTTTGGCCCGGCTTAACCCCAGCCGGTCCAAATGTTTGGGATGTGAACCAGCAGATGGAAGTGCTTTCCCCACTCTCCTCCCTTCTCTCATTCTGCTGCTCTGTTTCTCAGTGCGTGCGTGTGCGTAGCTGCCTCTCAAATTTAAAGAAAAAAAAAGTTGTAAATAAATAGCTTTTCCCATTCTTTTAAAATATATATTAGTTGAAAATGCATAAAATGAAATTTGTTGCTTTCTAGGCAGTTGACTGGTGGAGTTTAGGTGTTCTGATGTATGAGTTACTAACGGGAGCATCTCCTTTCACTGTGGATGGAGAAAAAAATTCCCAAGCTGAAATATCTAGGTAAGATCTCACTAAATAAATGCATTGTTCTCTCTAAGGAGTTGATTAAATTTCTATAATTAGGCTGCTAAAAGATAATCTTAACAGTAATGGACAGAATGATGTTAAGGTGATAAATTTGCATTTGTATTCATATTCATATTTTTATATTCCATATGTTCAGTTAGCTTTTAATTTTCATGGGATTTTTGTCATAACTTTGGTGTGTTGCAAAGCACACCTCCTAGAGATATCATATATTGAGAAGTTTTGTTATTTTTTCACTGTATTCATAATTTAATTTCTTTGTGACTTTAACATGAAGAAAAACAAATGACATTTTAAGCTTAGCAAAAACAAATATGGTAAAATGTTAATGGTCATGTTCAAAGCTTAGTGTTAACCTGTGAGTGTGTTTGACTAAAATTTACAGTGTAAAACTGAATTATCCTAATTTTACATTTTCAAGATAATCATTTTGATTGTCTTTCCTGATACAAAATCTCTCATAGTCTGTTCTTAAATCTCTCATAGTCTGTATGGTTCTGATATATATATCATTATCTTATCCCCAGATGTCTTAATTATCTGTATTTTTTGTTATTGAATTTTTCCACTCCTTAATTATCATGATCTTCTCTGAACTCTGCATACCTTTTTTTAAAATATTTGAGATGCTTCAAAATAATGTGTTATTCATGTCATCTGTTTGCCATTCTTGTCTGCAGATATGATATCAAATTTCAGGTTATAACCAGATCTTAAGATGACAAAGGCTAGGGCCCAACTTTGCCCTTTCCTCTGCCGGTGCCCAGTGGTCCCGGGTGTGCAGCAGTCTCCAGGAGGTCCTATCTTCCCAAAATTACCTTCCTGCAATTTCTGCTTGTCAGTCCGGTCCTTGAGAACATGGGATGAGTCTGTTCTGTCTTCCTAGGAGTTGACTGAAGCATGTGATCTTTTCACTTTTCAGATGAAGCCGTTTCCAGGTGCCTCCGCTGGCCGGGTGCTCAGGTGGTGGTTGGCACGGTGGGCTCAGAGGCTTGCTCCCCAGCTCTTCTGCCTGTTTCCTGTCCTCAGTTCATGTTTGTGGTACATGCTTGTCTGCTGTGCTCTCCACAAGCCTCAGCTGTATTTCCGGGGAGAGCCTCTTTCTTCAGCTCTGTGTAGATGCTGCTGGAGGGTGTCCCCTGGGCCTCTGTAACTCCCATCAGTTGTTCTGTCTGCCCTTTCAAGCTTCAGTAGCAGTGGCAATCCAGTGTGCCTCACCGAGGCAGGACACACAGGTCTGGTGCAGTTCTCTGTGTCCGCCATCCACATGTTCTTTCTTTGTTTTATTACCTCTGCCTTTGAAATGTAGGAAGCATTTGCCAATAGATGTTTGACATTTTGTTCATAATTCAATGAAATATCCTTCATTAATATATAATTATATGATTATAACCATAGTGTTATATAAATTCAGGCCTGAGTGTTATCAGAGTACAGGGTGCCTACTTACTTGCAATTCTACATCCATGGATTCAGCCATCCATGGATTAAAATAGTTGAACCAAAAGTATTTCATGCTGAGTACTACCCTGAGTCCCTGCAAATGCAGCGATGTCTGGGCCCTTACTGTGGCTTCCCACCATGTCACAGGTCCTCAGTCTCTTTCAGATGTTCGTGAGCTGTCATCAGACCTGCAGTGGTTATATTGTTTGGAATGTGCACTCACTTCATTTTGTTGTCAATATTCCCCAAGCAGACAGTGCAACTGTTTAGGTAGCATTCACACTGTGTTATGTAGTATGAGAAATATAGAGGTAATTTGGAATATACGAGAAGTGTACATTGCCTGTGCACTGATACGCCCCTCATCTCAGGGAAGGACCAGTCCCCCACGGACATGGAGAACAAAGATGCACTGCTCAGGCCAGGCTCAGCGAGATGTTTTTGTAACATGTGACACTTACTTGAAATTCTGGTTTCGGTGTCCATCAATAAATTTTCACGAAGACACAGCTGTCATTGGGTCGCTAGATCCAGGCCCTTATCTCAAACACAGTAAGGAATTTATGGGTGAGATACAGGAAGCTTCAGTGGAGGAAAAGGTGGTATATGCAAAGCCAAGTGCATACTTGAGAGGCAGTGTGGGCATTTGAGAGTGAGCGGCACCTGGAGCGGTTTAGGCATATCTCAAACAAGAGAGCAGAGGAATTGAAGATGAGGTTTGGGACGGGGTTTCCTTCTCAAAGTCTTGCAAGCATCACACTGTTAAGTTCATGATGACATTAGGAGTGTCAGTCATGGTAGTCGTAGATGACCACACATGCTGGCTGTTTTGAGCTGGCACTGGACAGAAGTTCTGAGGAAAAAGCAGATGGGATTCCTTCACCCCAGCACATGGGCTGGGGGGTGCCAGGATACTGGACAGCTGCTGGCTGGCAGGGGGCAAGGCCATGTCCTCAGCTCACTCCTGGCCTTGACACAGCTGTGCTCCTCCCTTTGTGTATCAGAGCTGAGCAGTTGTCACAGAGACCAGATAGCTTGTAAATCCTGAGCCGTGTAATGTCTGGCTCTGTTGTTCATTTTCCACCACCCATTGCCAAGTAGCGGATTACTCCACAACTTGGAGGCTGAAAAGCCACAGGCATTGCTTATCTTGCAGTTTCTGTGGGTCGAGAATGGGACCTCAGCTCAGCCCAGTCCTCTAAGTCAGGGCTGCACAAGCAGTCAGGCGTTGGCCGGGCATGATTGTCTCAGGGCTAAGCTGGGCAAGGAGTCAAGATTGTTGGCAGGATCCCGGTGGGCAGTCCGTTCCTTGGTGACTGGTGGCCAGAGACCACCCTTGGTTCCTTGCCACATGGACTTCTCCAGAGTGGCAGCTTGCTCACTTGGAGGTGTTGACATGGCAATGTCCAGGAAGCTGGTCAGGAAAGTGACCTTTGACCCCTGGGAGAAAGGCATCTGGCCCAGCTGTCTCTGAAAGGGCTATGAGCCCCAAGTGATCTAGGTTCATCTTAGAAATCTGCCTGCTGTGAGCCCTGCATATGAAAGGTGGCCACAGCCATGTAGGTCATTGTCCTCCCAAGGAGGGTTCCTCTTCAGGTTATTATTTTAAGACATTGATTTTGTGTGTGACTACAGGCTTTGCCATGCAAAGTCAAAGTAGTGATTCTGTTGTACTTTTTAATTTTACCCATTTCAGCCAGTTAGTTAATGCCTGACATTAGCCATTTGTGTTTTTAAAAATTGTTGTTTTATTTTTACTTGAAAGGAAGAATTACAGAGATAGAGAAGGAGACAGAGATCTTCCATCTGCTGATTCACTCCCTGAATGACTGCAGTGGCCAAAACTGAACTGGTTTCATGCTGGGAGCTAGGCGTTTCGTTTCTTCTGGGTCTCCCTCATACGTGCAGGGCCCAAAGACTTGAACTATCCTATGTTGCTTTTCTAGGTCATTAGCAGTGAGTTGTATCAGCAGTAGAATAGCCGGGACATGAACTGGTGCCTATTTGAGATACCAGTACAATAGGTGGAAGTTTAGCCTGCTGCACCACAATGCCATCCCCAACCCATTTGTGTTTTCTAGAACTTTGTTTCTGTATATCTTGCTTTGGGAGTTATGTGTAGAATAATTGCAGCTATCTTTTTACAAAACAAAACAAAGCCTGTTTTAATTTTCATTTTACGAAGAGATCAAATTTATTCTTTCCATGGCCTTTTTTTTTTCTTATGACTTCATGAAAAAAATACAACATCAACATATTTTATAAAATCTCCCTGATCCTCAGTTTGGTCGTCTTTTTTTCTTAAGTTCTTCATTTTATGGATAAAGGAAAAATACGAGCATCTGTTTTTGCCATAGCTCCCTTACTGAAACCCTGAATCAGTTCATGTTTGTTCCCACAATGATTCATCTATACATTATTTGTTCTAAAGATTTATATATTCATATGAAAAGCAGAGAGACGGGGAAGAGACGGGAGAGAGAGCTTTTATCCTCTGCATCACTCCTCAGATGCCAAAAACAGCTGGGCTTAGGTGCACAGCAGGAAGGTAGATTGCAAGTGTGGGATAACTGGGACTCCCAGGCACTCTGGGACAGGATTTGGACATGTCAGGTGACAGCCCAGCTCACCATGCCATGATGCCCACCCCACATCCTTCTACATGACACACTCACATCCCCTACAGGCTGAGGGGTCCAAAACGGAGGGGTGTGGCCAGGAGAGGGATGTGGGGTGTCTCATTCCCCAGATTTGCATCATGTTTTCCTTTATCATCCTTCCGACCCTTTTTCTTTATACAGCTACTATGGGCATTTGTGGAAATTATTCTATAATTCTGGGAATTCAAGGAAAGCAGATAGTGAAAGCAGCATCAACTCATGAAATGAGAAAGACTGAGCGTTCCGGTGGAGGACAGGTAGAACTGACCTGTGAGAAGGCACGTGTCTGCCAAAAAGTAAACAAGTTCCATGCAGGCTTTGCATAAACAGGGAAGTCCCAAGGGAACCAGGCACAGTCAAATGGAGACAGGTCAACGTTTATTTGTTCATGAAATGCTTGTTGGGGACCTGCTGTGCGTTGAGCATGGCCATGAACCCTGGGAATCAAGCTACAGACAAAGCAAGTAAGCCCCCATTCAGTTGGAACTCATACGTCTGTCAGGAGTGAGAAACAATGTAGGATGCCATATATGGATGTTGGGAAGCAAAACAGGACAGAACAAGGAGTAGAATAGGGTGGGTGGTTCGAGAAGGCATCTCTAACAAGGTGACCCTTGAACGAAGGCCACAGTGAGAGGCCAGCTGGGCATTGCCCATTGCCTCTGCTACTGTGGTCCTGAAGGGCAGTAACACCTTTTGGTGGAGACAGTCCTTCATCGCATCTTTGTGAACATACAAGACACATGAGCATCATTTCCTAGGTGTGCAGTTCTTCACTTGGAATTTATTTGTGGTCGTGACATAAGGTAAGGGTTTTTTTGCCCTTGTGTGTTTATTTTCCAAATAGCTGGTTTCCCTACCACATTTGTTGAACAGTGTAGCCTATCTCTATGGAACAGTCACCTTTTAGGAAAGATTTGAGCCGTTATATGTCCCTGGGTGGTGGTTTCTAGGATATCTCTTCTTTTCACTTGAATTGGTTGCTGATTTACCTTGCTCTTGCTTCACTTTCATAATTTCTCTTTATAATGCATCTTAATGTGGAGCTGGGCATCTCAGCCCCAGTTTTATTTTTCAGAATTCTCTTAGAAGCATTATGCACTTATTCTTGCAAATAAATATTAAAGTCACCCATGCTGTAAAATACCTTGCTGTGACTTTAATTAATCGTTCGATTTCCTGTTATTTGGAAAACAGTCTCTCCCTAATTAGAAGACAGGGATGATAACAGCAGTATTTTGATCCGATTGTTGTGTGGACTGAATAATACCACACGTGCAGTGTTTAATGTGCTGTATCAACTCAGCCTGTCCCAATTTTACAGGAGGCTCTAAGATTTTTTTGGGCCTTACCTAATTGCAGTTCATTTCTGATGTTTCTCAGATCCACTTTGAAGCAAGAAAAAAAAATGACTTTGGGTTATTACCATGTTAAGACAAATGGAGCTCCACTAGGTTTTGCTCCTATTGCAGAAATCAAGTATTCTGGAGGAGGTGATGTGACAGCAACAGCCAAGAAATGTTTCTCTGCCTATGGTACTGGATATCCTGGTGTAGATGTGCACAGAGGGTCCCAGGGGCATCTTGCACTCACACCTCCATCCATGCCCCATCTCAGGGAGCCGATTTTCAGAAGGACGTTCACACCCATTTGTCACCCTAGGCATCAGTCTTACTTGGCTATATTTTAGGATCAGGACAGAAAACAGTGTATCTGCAGGATAACCTCAAACACATCTTCCCAGGGGACCCTTCCAGCTGCCTGGACACAGCTTCACAGTCCAAGGAGGAAACCGCTGTTAGAGAGGAGACTGAGTAGGCAGCACAGTAACTGAGCAGACACTGCCTGCCTGTGGGCCTAGCACCCACAGTCCCACGGAGACACCGTTGGGTGGCTAGGTTGAAGAGACAATGCATAGCAGCTGAAGTGCACCTAAAGCCTTCCACACAGTCATGGATGAGGCTGTTCTGAGCTCCAGGTCGGCTCATGTGCTCAGCAGGTGTACTGGCACAGCTGCACCACTGAAATGGTGTTCTTTAATCAAAAGGTGAATCCGAGATCACCTGCACACAAAGGTAAGGTTTAGCTCACTGTAAGCCCTTCCTCCTCTCCACCCATTCCTAGTTTCTGATCTTCCTGCTGGTGCTGCAGTTTCCCAGTAGGAATAGGGTCAGAAGCCCTTCATTGTGCTAAGGAGAGCCCGTGCTACTCTAGGCCTGAGCAGCATTCTTTGCTGCATCTCCCGAGTACTTTCTCTGTCTCTCCACTCTGTAAATCTGCCTTTCCAATAACAATAAGTAAAGTGTATTTTTTTTAAATAAGTGCCACTTAAGGTTGCATGAAGTACTAAGACTTCAGGATTACATTTTTTAATATATTTTTTTATCTCTTTTTCACAGGTATTTCCTTTACAGAGTGTGTCTTACCTTTGACCAAGCATTCTGTCATTGTAGCATCATCTGGTTGTTGTAATAGCAAGTTTTGTCTGCCCACAGGAGAATATTAAAAAGTGAGCCTCCATACCCCCAGGAAATGAGTGCAGTAGCGAAAGACCTCATTCAACGTCTTCTGATGAAAGATCCCAAGAAGAGACTGGGATGTGGCCCACGTGATGCAGATGAAATCAAAGAACATCTCTTCTTCCAGGTGAAGTCTGCGGAACCAATAGATAGTTTGCTGCACCTGCTCTTGGGATGATCAGCTTTCTGGGTGGGGATCCTGGGGACTATTTCTATTTCCGCTTGCATCGTACCTTTTCTTGTCATGGTAGGGAACAAGATGAGAAATGTGCTTGTGTGGAGCTAAGTGGAGTTGGGCTGGGCAGGTTCTATCAGCGGTCAGTGCCTGAATCCCAGCGATTGGAGCTTCTTGAGCCATGATTGCCACTGGTGCTCTTGAGATTTAGACTCAGGGGCTAGGGAGATGTGCATTCTGTTTGTTACTTGTCACTCAGTTCATGATCTGTAACTGCCACTGCGTTTTACCTTCTGTTTTTTAATTTTTATGTATTTAGAAGACAGAGAGAGACAGACACAGAGAGAGCTCTTCCATCCAGTGGTTCACTCCCCACCTACTCGCGACAGCTGAGCCCAGGCCAAAGACACAGCCTGGAACTTGGTGAGGGTGGCAGAGGCCAAGCACGTGAAATGTCCCCTGTCTGCCCTGAGGTTGGACATGAATCTAAGCACTCCACTATGGAGCCTGGGCCTCCCACGCAGCATCCTTAGCGCTGTGCCGAAGGCCTGCCCATTTCACTTTTCAGATGGTGAGTTTGTGTCTCCCTGTTGCTCAGGAGAAATGTTAGGAAATTCAAACCCTGCCCATGTCCTGGTTCCTTGTCTGTGACGTACAGAGTTATTGTCATTTTCTCTGTCCCTGTGATGCAGCTGTGCTTATTCTGAAAAAGCTACCTGAGTCTGTTTCTGCAGAACACCAACTAGATCTGCATTAGTGAGCTCAGTTTGGTCCCAAAACCCAAATGTTAAATAACCAGGAGAAGTGAGTGAGGCAGAGCTGTTGGTCATCCCCTTCTAAAGGGATCCCCTTGATCCCATCTAAGGGATATCCCAAACCCCAAGCACATCATTTCAACAAGTGTGTCCTCCGTGTGTAAGGGAGAAAGGGACCTTCCCACACTTATCTTTTTATTCCGTAAGTCGAGCTTTTATATTACCTGCAGCAAAACAAATGAGAAAGCATCTGCTGAAACAAAGATTCCTAGTCAAGTAAGTTTGCTATAATTGCTTTCTAAATATGTAACGTATTGGTTAATGTTTAGAATTATCTCTGTACTTCTAGACTTATTTATTTCTGTCACTCTAACCATTTTTCAAAGCAGCATTGAGCATCTTATAGAAATTCAGAAGCATAGTGAGAAATACATTTCAAATAAAACCAGCTTCTCAGTGTGTACACTTCACAAATTGATATGACTCAGAAAGATTACTGTTTGAACAGACTGTTTCAAATACCGTGTTCAGAAGTTTGGCTAAAACATTAGCAATCCAGTACAATTCAGGAAACTGTTCTAACAAAAATCCCCCCAATCTCATTTTTCTGGGATCTTTTGCTCCTTTGGTCCTTGTATTTGTGAGTTTACAGTATATCTTTAGTATTGGAAAATCTTTTCTTTGTGATAACTCAGAACAGTAGGTTGAGATGATTTAACTCCCTTGACTTCCTAAGTGACGGAGGGCTGCTTCCCTAAAGCCCAGAATCCTACTATAGATCTCAAGGTTTTTCCCATAAAAGCGAAGGAGGTAGGAAGGGTCATCCATTTTCTGTGTAGTAGCATTTCGCCTATGAGCAGCAGAGTCCCTTAAGTTGCCCCTTTACTCTAGAAGTCTCTGTTACTGCACATTTAGTAGCCAAGCAGAAATCTTCTGCTTCTAACAGAAAACTTTTCGGCCACATAGGGGAAAGTGCACGAGGCAGAAAGTCAAGAAGCTGTTCTCAGATCCAAACTCTTCCACCGACTGGTGTTTAAATGGAATTGTCGGTTCTTATTTCTGGGCTTCCATTTGCTTTTGTGTGAAATACAGATGATGAACCAGTAATCTCCTAGACCCATTCTCACTGAAAAAACTGAAGACCTGTAATGTGAAATTATTATATTTCCATTGTCTCTTCACAGGGGCATAATAAACACATTCTATGATGGTTGATTAAACTTAATGAATTTCATCAACCATACAGTGCACAATTTCACATTTTACCATCACTAAACTCAGCATGCATCTTACAGAAGACATGATCTTTCTATTTTATTTGCTAATGCTTTTTTTCTTAATGATAAATAAAATATTGGTATATGTTACCATCAGTAATATTTTAAGTCTGAGGAAATGTGGTAACGGATCTGTAGGACTCAATTCAATAAGTATTATCTGAGCGTGACAGATGGAGCATAAGGAAACAGCATGGGGATAGAGTTGAGTTAGATAGAAATATATCAATTGTAAAGAATGCAGCAGCAAAAAGGCACTTAGTCCAGCCAAGAAACAGGCAAAGGACTTTGATAGACAGTTCTCAAAAGAAGAAATACAAATATCTAACAAACACGTGAAAAAAAAAATCCAGCGTCACTAGGCGCATCAAATACTCACAAACGCTGCAGTGAGTCTCGCCTCGCCCCTGTCGGAGTGGCTGACACAGCACACGGAGTGACAGAAGCTGGCGAGGATGTTCAGCGAGGGGGACACTTACTCACTGCTGGTGGGAGTGTAACCAGTGTGCAGATAGTGTGGGATTTCTTTAAAACTAGAACTAAACTTGCCTTGTGATCCAGCGATCCCACTATTGGATATATAACCAGAAGATTTGAACAGGATGAATCAAAGACATTGTGTAACTATATTTTATAGCAACACTGTCCCTGTCAACAAGATGTCCCTGTCAGTGAGTGAATAAAGAAAACATGGAGCCCCGGTGCTGTGGCCTAGTGGCTAAAGTCCTCATCTTGCATGTACCAGGATCCCATGTTCATGTCCGGGGCACCAGTTCATGTCCTAGCTGCTCCACTTCCTTTCCAATTCCCTGTTTGTGGCCTTGGAAGGCAGCCGAGGATGGCCCAAAGCCTTGGGACCCTATAACTGCATGGGAGACCCCGAGGAGACTCCTGGCTACTGGCTCCTGGCTTCAGATCAGCTCTCGGCTCAGCTCTGGCTGTTGTGGCCACTTGGGAAGTGAACCAACAGGTGGAAGATCTTTCTCTCTGTCTCTCTTTCTCTCTGTAAATCTGACTTTCCAGTTAGAAATAAATCTTTTTTAAAAAAAAAAAAAGAAAAGAAAATGTGGGACGTGTATACACACACACACAATGGAATTAAAAAGAAAAATTCTACCTTTTGCAGCAAAATAGACTCAATGGGAGGACATCATGTTGAGTGAAATCAGCTAAACCAGAAAGATAAATGTCACATGTTTTCCCTTATATGTGTGACCTAAAATTTAAAGAAGAAAAAAATGAAGAAATGTCTGTGTGTATCAGTATTCCTACAAATATTCCTATAAATGTAATTTTGCAAAACTGTATTTTACACCTGTGTCAATCCAGTGGTTAAGAATGCTATACTACTATAGTTTTAATGATCTGTGATTACTTTATAATTTACTGTATATCAGTGAACTATTCATTTTTTCCACTCAATTATTGTTCATAAGCTGTTATTTCCACTAAACCAAAGTATTTTTGTTTTTAATATATTATACAAATATATATACACACACATGTATATATGTTGCTCAGTATTTAGAGGGATATTTCAAAAAATGACAAAAAAGATAGAATGAAAAGATAATTTTGGGACAAAAACATTTGAAAAATCCATGAGTAGGTTTTCATAATACATATTTTCCATGAGCATATTAAAGGGCTCCCACAGATGGAAAAGGTGCTGGATTATCCTACGGAGGGACAAGAGCCAAGTCCCTCCACTGCTTGCGTGCAAATGAGAGACCAGTGAGCACCCCAGTGCGATAGGATCGTTCAAGCTGGTTTGTACTAGTTTGCAGTGGGCTGGCTTTCCCACCTGCCTGGGTGACTGGTAAGACCAGGTGGATGGGTAGCATCAGTAACACTGCTAGGAAGAAGGCATGTTTCCCCAGCTCACTGTGGAACCTGGAGGGAATTGTCAAGCCTTCGTTGCGGTTTTGTTTTGGATTTTTGGTTTGGTTTTGCCTCCCCCTCCCCCCCCCCGCCCCTTTTTTTTTTCCTTAACACCTTTTTCAGGCGAGGCTCAGAATCAAGGTACCTTTTCCTGGCGTCTGAGGATAATAAGCATGTGTTGGTGCCCCCTAGCGGACACAGAGAAACTCCACAGATGTGGAAAGCATCTCAGTCTTTCTCTGGACTGGGGCTGCAATCTACTCTCAAACAGGCCCTTGCTTAGAAAGAGCAATCACTTTCATCTTCACTTTGAAATAGTCGCCCCTCTTTTTAGCCCTGGCTGTCTGAATCTACCTGTCCTTGTTGTTCTTAGAAAATCTATTTTGACTTGTTGGTTTCTACTTTTCCTTCCATTTTAGAAAATCAACTGGGAAGATTTAGCTGCCAAAAAAGTGCCCGCACCGTTTAAGCCCGTCATTCGTGATGAGCTGGATGTGAGCAACTTTGCAGAAGAGTTCACAGAAATGGAGCCCACCTACTCCCCTGCAGCCCTTCCCCAGAGCTGTGAGAGGCTGTTCCAGGTAAGGCCCCATGTGTGCGGCGGGGACTCCCGGTTTGGAGGAAGACCAGGTTGTTCTAATTAAGTACTTTGGTTCTTATACACAGGCTGCCCCAGTCCCTTTACAATGATGAATTGTGGAGACACTGCACATGGTTTGCTGAGTAGCACATCCTGTTCCTATTGTGTTTTAATATGGAACTCTGATGGCTTTGTACCTGGCCTTTTATGTCTGTTCAAGGTCCTTCATAGGAATGACAGTAGCATTTGACTTTAATCACTTTTCAAGTAGAATATTCTCTAGCTCACAGTGTTATCTGGGTCTTTGTCTTCAGGGGATAATCTTAACTGCTTTCCATCTGTTAAAGATTTAGAAAAGATTTTGTATTTAGAAAGGATCTTTGCTTCTTTGACTCCTGAGTGTTCACTTACAGTGGTTTAATCTGGCCATCCCAAGTCTGTCTCTTGTGCATTCCACATCATGATCTAATATATGACTGGACACTTAGTAAATGTTTCACAGAAATGTTTGTTGATGAGCTAGTGAATGTTCTGGCATGAACAGGTTCGTCATGATATACCACTTGTGGCTCAGCACATCTATTGCCATTAGATTTTGTTCTTTTCTAAAACTCAGTTTCATATATATTCTATCCTGAAGGATTGGATTGAACATCAAACAGTTGCAGAATTAGAGAATAACTTAAAACTAAGCATACTATTTTATAGCTTGAAAACAGTAACACTTTGGACCGCTTTCTTTAATAGCTTAATGAGATCTCTTTGAGGAAGTTGGTTGTGTTTATAAGTGAACTTTCTTGGCCACACAAAAACATAACAGCTGTGAGAAAGATTTTGCGGACACAGTAGGAAGTCTTTCCTCCTTTATTACTGAATTGGTTTAATTCTGCCAGAAGATGGCATGATCTCCCTCTGCAAAGCCTCTTCCCATTACTTTGAAATGCCCCCCGCATTTTGGATTGCAAATAAGATCAAATCCTTGAATGTTTTCCTATGGAAAAAGCCTCAAAACCCAGTCTGCCCCAGTGCCCCAAGCCTCGGTTTCCCCTCTGCCTTTCAGGGCTACTCTTTTGTTGCTCCCTCCATCCTCTTCAAGCGGAACGCAGCTCTTGTGGACCCTCTGCAGCTCCACCTGGGAGTCGAGCGCCCTGGAGCGACCGGCGTGGCCAGGAGTGCCATGATGAAGGTAGATGCATCTGGCTATTTCAGTGCTGAGTCAGTGATCTTTCATGAGTGTTAAGTGCCAACAACAGTTCTCAAAAGTTCTCAGATCCAGGAGTGATCTCAAGTCTGGCAGATGTTCTATTTTGCAAGGGTTTTTTTTTTTTTAAATTTTTTAATGAGTAAAAGGAAATAGCATTCTTTTCTCTAGAGAATTATTAACATCAGTTTGGACGAGCTCCTTTCTATAATAATTATGCGTCTTAAGTTTAAATAAAAGGGATAGATCGAAATAGAAATGAATTAAGATAAATTGTAGCTTACACATGTGTCTCGTTCATGTTTATTAATGCTAACAATCTTACATTACTCCACAGTTTTATTTATCTCTTATACATAGCAAGTGTTTTCTAATCATTGGTTATGTTGGTTTCTTACCAGGACTCTCCATTCTATCAACACTATGACCTCGATATGAAAGACAAACCTCTGGGAGAAGGAAGCTTTTCCATTTGTCGAAAGTGTGTGCACAAAAAAAGTAACCAAGAGTTTGCCGTCAAAATAATCAGCAAAAGGTAAGACTGTTCCTAGTCCAACTTTGTATGTTCATGCTAGACGATGAGTTCTGTAAAGTACGAGCTTTCCATTTAAAAGGAAGTCGGCCGTACATTGTAAAGCTTGTACTCAAAGGTTTGATCCATTTTACTTCTGACTGTAATAGATAGGTAAATCATAGTCTGATACACATTTGGGTTTATTATGGCAGACTTTCTGTGACAGTCACATAGTTAATGCATTAATTTCATATTTATTTATGCACTGATTCCAACAGCTATTGCCATTCGTGTTAGTGATGTATCTGAAGTGCTTTTCTCAAAAGATATTTGGCAACCTACTGATAGCATTAAGAACCAGCTAGTTGTTTTGGTAACTGACTATTACTTTCACATTTGTGTATGCTTGTTCTCAGATTGCCAGACCAAGAGTGTCCACTTCTTCAAATGACTAGCTCTTTTCTGACCCAGAAATCATTGTTTCCAGGATAATGTATTACTTTTGCTGGTGGGTGGTATGCTTCATTAGTTATTGAAGCCTCAATCAACTACTTTGATATACATTCTGAGTTCACTGTAAATAAAAACAGAATTATGGTTGAGCAGTACCAACCAATGTAAAGCCAGATGGGCATTTGGCCTAGTGACTAAGACTCCTATATGGCGTGTCGGTATCTGGCCTCCAGCTTCCTGCTCGTGGGGACCCTGGGAGGCTGCGTTGTGGCTGGCTATGTTCCTGATGCCCACAGGGGAGGCCCAGGTTGAGTTCCCAGTTCCCAACATTGCCCCAGCTCATTCTCAACCTCTGTGGGCAGTTAGGAAGTAAACTAGCAGATAAAAGCTGCCTCTGTGTGTCTGTCAGTTTCATTCCATCTCAAGTCAATGGAATTTCTTTTTAAGAGAGACAGACATGTAGACACTGTTTTGTCTTGCAGGATGGAGGCCAATACTCAGAAAGAAATAACAGCTCTGAAACTCTGCGAAGGACATCCCAACATTGTGAAGCTGCATGAAGTTTTTCACGATCAGGTATTCCACATTGTGTTTCTCTGTGTGCTGGCTTCCATAACCGGTTCTACTTTTCATCTGTCTTGTTGGTTGGCTGCATGATGAGAATCAGGGAAATGGAGCATCTCCCAGCTGAAAAGAGCAGAGAAACCGTCCCTGCAGCACACACTCCTAGCCACCCCGACCTTGTACTTCAGCTCATCTCACTCAGTGGGTGCCACTTAGGACAGAGGAGGAGGACACAGGCCAGGAGCTCGGTGACCCTGTCACCAACTCCGATGTGCAGTACTTCGTCACTACACACTCCCAAGGCTCTCGAGCCTTTTACAGACACTCAGAGTCGTAAGCCCAGTTCTGCAGGCTGAGTGAAGCAGGGTGCAAGGGCCACAGATGCTCTCCTTCATCTTGCTGCAAACCTCAGGCCTGGTCATGCTGCTCCTTCTTCGTCCATCCTCAGCCCTGCTTTCCAACAGGAGCCCAATTCAGAAGCGTGCCACTTAGAATGGAGGAGGAATGCTACCGTATCAAGTTCATGTCTCCTCTGACCCCTTCCCACAGCTACTGCCCATATCACAAACCCCTCCATTTCATTCAGTATTCTGTGTCCCCAGACCAGGTGGGACAATGTGTTTACTACTTTAGACAACACAGAGGTATAACAGACAAAAACTAATCTTGACTGCTTTAGTTTTACCAGTGAAGAAGCTAAGATGCTGAAGCGTCATGAGACTTATGTAAGACCGCACAGTAAGGCTGTAAAGATCTAGTCAGGGAAGCATGCTGTTCAGTGCTGGGCTGTCTTAACTGTGCTGCTGTAGAGTCTGTGACCCATCTTAGAAGGCCAGTTCTGGGGCCAGATGCAGTAGCCTTAGTGGCTAAAATCCTCACCTTGCATACGCCAGGATCCCATGTGGGGGCTGGTTCTTGTCCTGGCTGCTCCACTTCTGACATAGCTCCCTGCTTTGTGACCTGGAAAGGCAATAGAGGACAGTACAACCCAAAGCCTTGGGACCCTGCACCCACGTGCAGGGAGACCCGCAAGAAGGTCTTGGCTCCTGGCTCCAGCCGTTGGGGCCATTTGAAGAGTCAGTCAGCAGAAGGAAGATCTTTCTCTCCTTTCCGTAAATCTGACTTTCCAATAAAAAAGTAAAAAAAAAAAAAAAAAAAAAAAAAAAACTTTTTAGCAAATGTTCATACGTTAAAGAAAAAAAAAAAAGTGCAGTTCTGTCCCACACTGAAGCCTTTCCGAAGTACAGGGCCTAGGGCGACATGTGGCAGTGAAGCCCTGGCACTGGCAGTGGCAGACCTGCCATTTGCAGTCATGTATTTTATGTTGCCCAGGAAATATACCAGACACTCTACATGTAGTGCCTCTTCCAGCCCTTCCCTTGGCTAGCTCTGTGAAGTGGGAAAAGCGGAAGTCCCAGAAGCAGCTGGGGCTCACCGTGTGTAAGTGGTCAGACTGGGGCCTGAGTCCAAGTACTCCCAGCTCCAGAGCCCAGCAGTGTTAGTTAACTTTTCTCTGCCTCCTCAGGAGAAGGAGAAATGGCCAGGTTTTTGGATCAGATAGTGAATATCCAAAAATGGTGTCATTGTCAACTTGCTCTGGGCTTCTCAGAGTCAGAAACTGCTCTCCACCCCTTCCTGCCTCCCACGGAATCCAGCGACTGGTGGAGGTAGTGAGTGCCCTGTCCACGAGAGGTGTGTGAGAAGATGAGGACAGTCTCACATCCCAGCCAAGGAATCGGGCTCATCTTGGATGAGTATCTGTGGCTTTGCTGTCATGGCCCGAGCTATACCCCCTCCCCAAGCACATCTGATTTCTGTCCTTCAGATCACTGGTACTTCTCAGGAATGGCATCCCTGATGTTTTGTCTCTGTTACTTGATTATATGCTATTTTTATGTTCCACCCTTATCATCATGTGTCTCATGAAATAATTCTAAATATGCCAGCGTACATGGATCGTAACACTAATATGGAATTTCAAGGACAGCTTGGATTGTTCTTGTGATGGGGACCCGGTGGCCTAGACCCTTCGTCTCCACTGCTGGAGGACACTGAGTATGGCCGTCGGCTGTTCGGCGAGAGGGCATGTTCAGTGTGCCCGTCTCCGCTGTCCATGGAGTAGGGACTCCCTGTGCTGCTGCTAACAGGCCACTGTGCACAGAAAACAAACACCTTGTCCCACATTCTGAGGGTGAGAAGTCCCAGATCGGCCTCACTGGTGTAGAGCACTGTGTCAGCCAGGCTGGTTCCTTCTGGAGCCTCTGAGAGAACAGCCACGTGCCTGCCTGTATCAGCCTTGGAGACTGCCCGCATCCCTTGGCCTCTGCGCCTTCGCAGCGGCATCCTCTTGCTTTTGTTGTTCTGCCTCGTCCTGCTGACTGATGACTAACTCAGCGTCACCTCAAGACCTACAGTCACATCTGTGAAGTCACTGGTGCCACATAAGCTGGCAGCCACGGGCTCAGCTTAGACTTTCTCATTGTTACCCACACTATTTCTCTGTCTGTATGTGGGCCCTAAAGTGCATCCAAGGAAAGCAGCATCCTCGACATTCTTGGTGACAGACCTGGCGTGTGGGCGTGCCTGGCCCTCTGCCGTCCTTGAGACCACTGTGGCAGTCACCTCACTTCATGTTTAAAATGGTCAAAGCTAATTGAATCGCACTTGGCCCATTCCTTCCAGTGACCTTGTCTGATGTGAAAATTCAAATTAATTAGCTCTCCTAGTGTCCCAGTAGCATTTTCTTATTAAAAAATGTTGTTAGCCCTTCACAGTTTGTCCAGTATGTTTGGAATAATATACTTATGAGTTTTCTTCTTTATAAAGTGATTTTTCTGAGATTTGTTGACTCAAGAAATAAATTTTGCTTGTTGAGTAACATTGTGCATGGCACCTGAATCTGAATGTTGATGTGATGTCTTGTACTAAACCACTTATGTCCTAATGAAGCTTTCTGTAATTCCTGTGCCTTATGACAGCTTCTGTGTTATTTTCTTTACGGAAATACATGCAAAGCATTGGAAATATTCCAATACACAAGGTTCATTGCTCCTTACTTATGATCGTGCCACCGAGATAAGAGCAGTTACTTAAAAACAACATTCAGGTGGTGAGCTATGGGTGCTGGAAATGACTATTCACAGGGACCTAAGACTGACCTTAAGAACACTAACAGGAGTTTTGAAATGGCATAATCTTACAACAATTTCTTTCAGAAGATAATTTTGTTATGAAATGAGTGTGCTGGGCCTTGCGAGGGCAGTTAGTGACCCATGCTCCTGAATCTTCTCTAGGATTGCAAACTGAAAAGTTCACATTTTGTTAACACCAGGTCATAACAAAGACAGACATATCATCTTTGATAGACAAGGCTGAGCAGAATTCAAACAAAGAATTAGTCAAGGAAAGTGATGTAAAGATTTTCCCACAGTGCTTAAAGTTTTCCACAACCAACATAGAAATTTTTAAAAAGAAGAAAAGAAAAAGCCCCCGCTCCTCAGCTCTGTCCTGCAGAGTGCAAGGACCGCTGTGGGTTCTTCCCGCAGTGCACTCTGTGACGTCACTGGCCCTCGATGGAGCCCACGCAGGCTTTCCATGCTGACACGTGTCCGCGCCGCCTCGTTGCAGCGCTACGTCCCCTCCATTGTTCTTTTTCTCTTTTCCAGCTTCACACATTCCTAGTGATGGAACTGTTGAACGGGGGAGAACTGTTTGAACGCATTAAGAAGAAGAAGCACTTCAGCGAAACCGAAGCCAGCTACATCATGCGGAAGCTGGTTTCCGCCGTCAGCCACATGCATGACGTGGGGGTGGTGCACCGGGACCTGAAGCCGGAGGTACGGAAGGCCGAGGCCGCATCCGCAGATCTCTCCCAATCACGAGCTGGGCTTTCTGGAATCTTTCTTTTTAGGGCTGCTGTGTTGATAATTGAAATTATGCTCCTTGCATTTTTTTTTTCCTTTCTATGTCAGTCTAAAATAAATGTCTTTTTTTTTTCTTGGCCAGCTAATCATGTTGAGGTTCTATTTGTAAGTGTGACAGCCTTTTATGGAAGAAATACTTGATGCAACTGCTGTGAACTAAAAATAGTGATGGGAATTTTTGTAGTAGAAAATAAAGCCCCTTCTATATGTGTGTCATCTCACAAGATTTTTTTAAAGGTTGTGTTCTGAAAGTTTATTTTTCATATTTGTAATTAAGTTGGTTAGCTTATGAATAGGTACCTGTAGTTTTGTTACAAATATTTGAACATTAAGAATGGTCTTGATTTAACTAGTTATATACTTTTTATGTGTTTTAGTGCTCACTGTTGTATTTCTATAACCGTGTATCAGTGCAGAAGTAGCAGCTTTTTTGTCTTTTAAATTTTTTATTAATATACAGAGAGCAGATCTCATACATTCCAGACAATTGCAAAGGGACAACCACAAGAAGCAACAGCTTTTAAAATATTCTTCTTTCAAAAGGTTAATAAGAAAGTTCCTAGCTCTGGAATTATCCCTTTTATAGTATCAAAAATATGAAAACTCTTTCCTTTCAGAGAATCAATGAAAACAAAAAAAACCAAAGCCAGTGATTTATAAAAAAGAGAACCATGACTCATCCTTTACCATATGCAAAATCCTGAAACTATCTTTAATCGTCATTTGACTATAATACATATTCAAATGTATTTAAAATATTAATGTTTAATAGTTCTCTAAGATATTTCTGGAATAGTTCTTTAAAGGCATCATTATTTTTCTCTTTTATTTGAATGTCTTTTTTCTTAAAGGAATAAGAGGTTTGAAAATGGAATTTGGGACACTGCTGTTCTCAGCATCCACTGGAGATTGGTGGCAGAGCCCGCCACCAGTATCGAAACCTGCAGGTGCCCAAGTCCCCTTGGTGAAATAGCAGAGTGTCCGCATGGAACCCACAGGTCCTCCCCTTACCCTCTGCATCAGCTCCAGGCTCCTTAGACAAGACAAATGCCATGCAAAGAGTTGTCACAGAATATAGTTAGACAATAATAGCTAAAAAAAGTCAGTGATGTTCAGCACAAGTACATTTTTCTCAATAACTTCTAGCCCCATCTGGTTGAGTCTGCAGCCACAGAGGGTGGTGACTGATGGATGCCCTGACAGTATTTAAACATCTACCCTGGCACTTCCCATTACGGTTCCTCATATTGCTAGTAATTAATCGAAAGTGGGTGTTGTGTTACGGACTTGCAACCAGGAAGGCCCCCTCTGCCTCGCTCCCCAGGCTTCTCACCCGCCTGCGCACCGCCCACCGCAGTGTGGCACTCCGCACTTTGGAGATTAGCTGCCTATTTTTAAATGCAAAAGCACACCACTTAAGTGCTTTCTTGATAGACAAGGAGCAAGCATGTATTTTTTTAATTGAAAAGTTCTGTTCCATGACTGTATAGAATTCATTTTCACATGTTGTATTCTTTGAGAACTGGCCATCTGTCATTTCATGAGTCTCGCATGAGGCTCCCGTCTTCACTGCCACAGTTTAGCTTTGCCTGCCTACGTCCCTAGTCAGAAGACACTTAGGTGCCTTACTTCCTGTTTGTTAACAGGATGTTCTTCCAGATAGTCATTTGAAATGAACCAGATTTGTCAGATTTCTAAGATAATCTACAAAAATTGGAATGCTTAAATGAAACTAGGTCTTAGGGAAATGAGAATGTACCTTTGAGCTAACCACATTGACTTTTAAATGGCAGAGTACATGGTCTTTTCCCCATGTAACATTTTAACAGCTGATTACCCATCTCTTGTTAGATGGTTATGTGACGTTCGCTTATGTACTGGCAGTATCTCCACTTGGAGGTGCGAGCTGGATAGATTTAGAAGCTGGCTGACATTCATAGTAGACTGCTTTGCATATTTTAGAATGAGCCCGTCCTTGTGAAAGACTAGAGAAGTTTCACATGTCTTCTTAGCTGTGGGCAGAACTGGGGATATAGATGAAAGGGATTGAACGCTAACCCCCAGCTCTCCTGTCGCATCGTCAGTTTGCCAGAAGAAGTAGGCAGGCGGGCACTATTCCCCAGTGTCGCATGCTTGGAAATAGGAGGAATGAGTTAAAGTCAGCAAATGAAACTGAACGACACGGCCCCACATTGGTAGGCATCTGGCGTGGCAGTGGAGAGATGCTATTCGGGATACCCAAATCTCGTTGGAGTACCTGGGTTCAAATCTGCTCCCCTTGCCATTCCAGCTTCCTAGCATGCCCACCTGGGGAGAAGCAGTTAATGACGCAAGTCCCTGGGTCCTGCCACCTGCGTGGGAGGCCTGTGTGGAACTTCAGGCTCCTGGCTCTGGCCTACTACAGCCCCAGCTACTGAAAACATGGAGGATGGAGAATCTGTCTCTCTTCGTTTTAAATAGATAAAAATAAATTTTTTTGAAATGTTAATTATTGAAAAAAATAAAATCAGATATATTGATTGTATTTATTTATATATACTCCATGTATTTATTTAATGTTTGAAAGACATAGCAACAGAGAGAGAAACAGATCTTCCATATACTCCGCAGATAGCTATGGCAGCCAGACAGATCTGCGCCAGGACGAAGCCAGGAGATTGACACTCCAAGCAAATCTTTCTCATGGAAAGCAAAAGCCCACGTGCTTTGGCCTTCACCCACTGCCTTCCCAGAAGCAGCATCAGGAAGCTGGACAGGAAGTAGAGCACGCAGGACTGCAGGATGGGCTGCCAGGGTCACGAGCAAAGGCTCACTAACCCACTGCACCACAGCACTGCCGCTCTTCAGGCTTAGTAGGAGCAGTGGAGAGGCGCCGCCCCAGGGCCTGCCCGGCCTTCTGTGCAGCACCACGCCCTGCACCTGGCAGGGCTGCAGGTCTCACCTGCTGCTGGGCTGCTCCCAGCACTCCCGCAGAGCCCAGCGGGACTCCACCGTGAGCGTCAAGCACTGTGAGAGCACAAACCAAACCTTCTCCGGTTTCTCCTTTTGCTTTTCTTTCCTCTCAATGTTGATTTTCAACTTTGAACTTGAAGCTTCAAAGCTTTTTGTTTTTTCTTGGATCAGTGACACTTTCTGTCATTTATTTTAGCAGGAATAGTGTTAACAAAGCAAATGATATCCCTGAGCTGGAAATAATCTAACGAATAAAGAGGTATGACAGATTCGTCTAGGTGTCTGAGGACAGAATAGCCAGATTCAGTCACTTAGAGCTTCGGTCTGATGTTCTGATAAAAATAGGGACTTGTGCAGCAGTGCAGTTAGCATTTATGAAGCAGGTGACAGATTCAAAAGTAATCCAGCAATAGCTTAGTGACCACAAAACCTCAGTAGGTGAATGATTCAAAATTACAAGGTTTTTATTTAAGCCCTACTGTCTCCAAGCACCAAAATCTGTTTTTTAAGTATTAACAGCTTGGTAAGAGAGAGTTCTGAAATGTAATGCGTGTCTTTTAAAATAGCATCTACTAGATATTAAAGAAATGTTTCGTTGATAAATTATTTTATGCACAGACATGTCCCAGAGCCCTGGGCACAAGTGTAGGGAGGCACCAGTGGGGGTGAGTATATAAGGTGTACAATCCTGAGGGGACACGTGCCAGCCAGGAGGGCGTGGAAGACAGCACAGGGGACAATTGGGGCAGTAGCTCTGAATGAGCAGCGAGTGTGCCCAGGAAGGGGCCTGTGCCAGGAAGGGTCAGAGGAGGGAAACCGGTGAAATACAAGTCCTGGCAGCAGGTTATCCAGCAGAGAGCAGCCCCCCAGCCGCCCCCGAAAGCCCGGTGTCAGACAGGGCACGCAGAGAGAGGGCGCACGGCCTCAGTGGGCTCTGCAGACCGTTTTCCTAAGAAACTCAAGCATGTGCCGCTGTCTTGCAGAATTTGTTGTTCACTGATGAGAACGACAACTTGGAAATCAAAGTGATCGATTTCGGGTTTGCCCGCCTGAAGCCGCCTGACAATCAGCCCCTGAAGACCCCTTGCTTCACCCTGCACTACGCCGCCCCGGAGCTGCTCAGCCACACCGGCTACGACGAGTCCTGCGACCTGTGGAGCCTGGGCGTCATCTTGGTGAGTGTGTCCTCGCAAAGCCACCAGACCTGGTTGTCGCTCTTCCCTGGCTGTCCCCAAGTTTGGACTGGGGGAAAACAAATGGCAAATTGATTTCTGTACAACCAATTAGAGGCCTGACCGAAGATGGTTCGCCTCTCTTAAAACTTGTATCAGTGAAATAACACAAAATACCCCAGAAATATGCCCAGTTTTTGTGCATCTGTTATAACATTTTAATGGAAAATAAAATTTTTAAGAATTCAGATGTAGAGATTTTTATTTGGATTCATTTTGTAATATTTAAGGCAGTTGCATTTTATATGAATGACAGTGGTACATATTTTTTGAAAGAAGTGATGATATATTTTGAAAAGATGTATATTAGATATAATGTGAAAATAAGTTAATTCTCTAGAAAAAAGTTTCTCAAAACTGTTCTTTGGATTCCAAACTATGTAATTAAGGAATGTTTAGAATAAATGAGCAACTTAATAGGTAAAATTGAGACCACTTACAGTGATGTATCGTAAATGTGGTAAAGCTGCTTTTCACAAAATGTCCTGGGCTGCCATGACCAGAAACTGAACATTAAGCTAGAAAAATCTCAGTGTGTTCTTTCTCAAAATAGCTTTGCTTTTCCAGCATTAAGTCATAAGGCAGACAGGGAATTATTTTTTAAACTAATGAACAGTTAGTACTTTTCCATTTTTTCATTAATGATGAACTACATAAAGGAATATTTTCCATATATGTGTTCACATTTGCCTCCTGATTTGCTAGGACAGATTCCTGGGCGGGTGTGCTGACGTCACCCCTGTGATGTCACACCTGCACATGGGGTGCCCGCCAGCGGGCAGCTCCTTCAGGCTGCATTTTCTCTCCTGAGTCACACTTTACCGACTCTGCCCCTTTCCCTAGGGAGAGATTTTTCTGACAGAATTTTAAGACTATTGAAAATCCTAAACCTTTTGTGTGTCACTAATATTAAAAATTGTTTTATTTGTCACTTGTTTGAAGCTTCGTTTATAAGTAATATGGGTTGTTCTTTTGTGTTGAGAGGGATATGAATAGGGAACCTCAGAAGATTTCCATGAGTCAGATGTGTCATTTCTTTATGGTCTCTGGCGTTGGTGCCAGATTGTCACTCGACCAGCCCAGTCCACGACTAGAAATACCCCTCCGAATTCAGACTTCTCATTTTTAGCCCACAGTCTGTCCTCCATCTGGGGTTTATTCTGGTGCCCGTCTGTGCCAGCGGCTGGTCACTGGCCCCTGCGGGATGGTCTTTATTTTTAGGCTTCATGTGGTTTTTGTCTCAACAATTTTAAATCATCACTTATAATTTAAAACAAATTACATACTTACAAATGAAAATATTTTAAATAGAAATAATAATAAAGAGCCAACTTCTGTATACCCAAGAAATTCCTTCTTTTTCAAGGGCTTAAATTTGCTGGCATTTTTTAGGAGAGGCAATGACCTGAAATGGCATGAGTCCCGCCAACATAAATTCCACAAGACTAACCTGTAGAACTCGATGCGATGTGTGTAATGCTGACAGGGAAATTGAACATGGATCAGCTGTTAAGTGATACAAATGGGTTTCTACTAATTATATTTGGTATGAGAATGGCATTGCGGTCATGATCCTGTGCCTTTAGAGAGGTGACAACGTAGTTACAGATGAAATGAGCAACTTCATTAAACTGCCAACGGAGAATGCTTTGCAAACTGTTGCATGTCAGCGAGTGCCTGTCCCTGGCCACCTAGCACAGCTCCTGAGTGGCCCACGACAAGCACAGAGGCTGTGGTGGCTTCTGCTCTGCCTCAGACACGCACGGCCCTCTGGTTTCCCATCACGTCTGCCTGCTGCGGGGACGCGAGCCCTGCCAGGTGCCTGTGCACACAAGGCCAGCTGTCTGTCATCTTTTCTGTTAAGGACACTAATCCTGTTGACTTCATTGAACCTTATTTCTCTCCAGAAAGACCTGTCTCCAGATGTTAGGGGCTGCAGCTTCCGCGTGGAGAGCAGGGGCCATCCAGCCCACAGTCCCAGCAGGGAGCCAGTGTGTGGCAGCAGACAGCCTGCCCGGGCAGCGTGTACACTTCCACTGAAAATGTAGTTTCTTCAGGTGTTTGGTTCTTGACATTTAAATTTTTAAAAAATTTTTTAAGAGATTTATTTTTTTATTGGAAAGTCAAATTTACAGAAAGAAGAAGAGATAGATAAAGATCTTTCATCCTCTGGTTCACTCCCCAAATGGCTGTAACGGCTGGAGCTGAGCCGATCTGAAGCTAGGAGCTTCTTCCAGGTTTTCCGTGCAGGTGCAGGGTCCCAAGGCTTTGGGCTGTCCTCTACTGCTTTCCCAAGCCACAAGCAGGGAGCTGGATAGGAAATGGAGCAGCCAAGATAAGAACCAGCACACATATGGGATCCTGGTGCATGCAAGCCAAGGACTTAAGGCACTAGGCTACTGCACCGGGCCCAGATATTTTAATTTTCCACTTTTCCACCTGCAATTTCATTTTGAAAATTCAAAACTAGAGAAGCTGTTAAGAGAATGTTCTGTGAGCATCTAGCCTTTTGCTGTTTTTGCCTTTTTCTCTTTAGTCCCTCTTGAATGCAGGTTATCTCACTCCATATGGATGTGGGGGTGTGGACGTACATAATGCATATGCAGACACACGTGTATAGATATATATCATATCCATATGGACATATTTCTGTGTAGATATGTATCGACACGTTGCTTCACCATTTGTAATCAGCTTGCAGAACAAAATTATTCTTAGAAGAAACTGAGTGCTGAATCGTCAGCTAAAATTATAAGGTATTATCCTTGGGGCAGGGGTGGGAACTGCTATATTTGTAGCAATGGTTTTAAATCTTGAAATGATAATGAGCCAGTCACTCTATTCACAAGTCCCTAAAACGTTACTGGTTGTTTCAGTGATAGAAGTCACGTGAGCTTCTGAACCCATACCACCAGTTATAGTGCGTGCCAGATAGTGCTGCTGGCATTGGCAATGGGGTCACCGGTGTGGCGTTGGCGTTGTCGGTGGCCTTGGCAGTCATTAAGTTTTGTTACTTTTCTCTGTAACAGTATACGATGTTGTCTGGGCAAGTCCCATTCCAGTCCCATGACCGGAGTTTGACATGTACCAGTGCAGTGGAAATTATGAAGAAAATCAAAAAGGGAGATTTCTCCTTTGAAGGAGAAGCCTGGAAGAATGTGTCACAAGAGGCTAAGGATTTGATCCAAGGTAATAACCTAATGAGATGTATTTTATTGATAAGTAATGATTGAGGAGGCATCCATCCATGGCACACACACTTGCTTCTTAGCCTGTGTATATTCTGAAGATTTTGCAGGCTGGTCTCTTGTTTGCTGATCAGAACACTGCCACTTCATAATCTTAGCCATGTCTCCAGCATGAACAGCCCAATAGATCGGAAACAAACCTACCCTGTTCCCATTGTCCTCCCCTCAGACACGTCCCCCACCCCCCATCTTGCCTCTTTTGGGCAGAGGCCCTGCCAAGAAGCCAGATCACTGAAACAGAAATTGAGCTGTGCCATCCTCAGTGCCCGTAGCTGCTGGCTGTCCGCAGCCCTCCCTGAGTCCTGCAGGCTCAGCAGCCACTCACATGCCGTCCCCTTGGCTCTGCCAGCACCGCTGCCCTGCAGTCACGCGGCATCCTTCCCTGCCTCTGACCTGGCCTGTCCTGCTGTTGACACAGAGACCTATCGGTGAAATCCTAGAAGAGTGTGTTAGCTTTAGGTCATCTTCCTAAGCCTGGAGTCATGGTGACCTGTCCCTGCCGGCCTCTGCCTTCCCATCACCCAGCCCTGCCAGTGCTACACCACGTTTCCAGAACCCCCCAGGTTTTTAGATGTGCCCCGAAGCACGCTCTTCATCCTGCTAGCCTTCCTCATCCTCCAGACTCAACTCCTGGAAACTTCAGGTTTGGCTGCCCTTACAGGCTAAGTCCTTCCCCTGGGCCTGCGCACACGCTGGGTCTGCGTGTTTCACCTTTGTGTTTCCTCCCTGGTGTGTAACACCTGCACTTTTGTTCATGTGTTTCCTCTGAGTCTCCATCTTTGATTCATTAGTGCCTGACCACACACCTTGAGCTGTAGAAGGCAGCCAGGAGGTGTCTGGGAGCTGAGTGTTCATTTGCGGGGCTAAACCCAGTCACCAGTGGGGGCCTCTCCTTTGAGTGCTGAGTTTGTCTTATGGGACAAGCCCGTTACCTGCGCACTCCTAGAAATCGGCTTCCGTCTTTCTCATCAGTGTCTGTGTTCACCAAAGGACCTACATGTATATAAAGTACAGTTAACTTGGTAGGAAATTGAAACCTTATTAAAGCCATCATGTCACTGTGAGCACAACTGAGAATTATGTCTGAGATGCTTTTAAGTCACAATAAAGGTGTGACTTAAATATCTTACCCCCCAGGACTTCTTACCGTGGATCCCAATAAAAGGCTCAAGATGTCTGGCTTGAGGTACAACGAATGGCTTCAAGATGGCAGTCAGCTGTCCTCCAATCCCCTGATGACGCCCGACATCCTGGGATCTTCGGGAGCTGCTGTGCATACGTGTGTGAAAGCAACCTTCCATGTAAGGCGGGCCCTGCATGCGTGGGGCAGGGGCGCGGGGGAACTAACAGGGGCCGAGAGAAGTCAACGCAGACGTTCTGGAGGTACACGCAGTGACATCGAAAATAGCACTGCTCAGTTGCTTCATGCTGTTAGCCGTCATAAACACAGAGGGTTTGGGGGATCAAAGTCACAGCCAACCTACAAAGCAGTTGTTTCAGTTTAGAATGAATCTATGAGAGGAGACTGCTCTTTGAACAATTGGAGGTTTTCAGTAGGCAATGGAAAACTAAAAGCATAAACTTTTTTTCCCCAAACCAATCATTCTCTTAAAACCAAATTAACAAACATGGGTACATATGAAATTCCATTCACACAACAGCCCTCTAGGGCATCGCCTGTCCTTCGAACTGCAAGGGATGTGAGTTGCTGGTCTAAGTTCAGCTGCAGATCTGAGAATTTGTGACCACATGGCAGACTACGCTGTTCACTTACGTACCAAGCAGACGCCAACAGAGTATAGTATAAAGAGTGGGAAGTTAGGCAGGAAGTATTAGGAGCAGGTGATGTAAGGAGCAGAGAAGGACATTTAGCGTGATGTGGTTTATAGAAAAGGAGTGGCCTAGCCTCTTCACCTGCAGAACCAGATTTGGAAAGTGCGCGGGGCTGGGGTGTGGCCCGTGGGTCAGAAGCGGTTGGGATATCTGCTTCCCACATCAGAGTAACTCGGGTTTTGGCTGCCGGCACCTGCGCCTGACTCCTCTTCCCAATGTGCCGGTCCTGGGGGCCGCAGCCCTGACCACAGCAGCTGGATCCCCGTGCCCACAAGGGAGACCCGGATTGCACTCCTGCCTTCAGCCTGTGCTCGCCAGCTGCTGGGGAGCACTTGGGGGAGTGGGCAAGTGACGGACGCAGTCTGTCCACTTTCCTCCTTTCCTGCCTCGTGTTTAATAGACAGGGACACCTATGAGTTATCCAAGGCACACTGGCACACGCAGTGACCCTGACGGGCTACAGAGCGGGCATCCTAGAGGGAACCGTCCACTTCGGGTGGAGACTGCGCACGGTGCTGGGTGCTGGGCTAGAAAACAGGAGGGCTGGCTTGTCGAGTTGCTCATGGTTTCCGTTAGCTTCTGTGGGCAGCTGATGTCTTCTTGGGCTGCAGGGCTGACTTGCTACAGAAGATTCCTTAGAATCCCGGCCCTGGGCATTATGGCTGGCTTAATTTCAACAGATGCTTCTGGAATCTTGCTCCAGAAACTTCTCTACCCTGCCAGGGGATTGGAATACAGAGATTTAAGAAGCTGGGGGCGGCACTGTAGCCATTCCTCTCACGCGATTCCCTTGACTGCTCTCAGGCCTTCAACAAGTACAAGCGGGAGGGCTTCTGCCTTCAGAACGTGGACAAGGCCCCGCTGGCCAAGCGGAGGAAGATGAAGCAGACCAGCACGAGCACCGAGACGCGCAGCAGCTCCAGCGAGAGCTCGCACTCCTCCCACTCGCACGGCAAGACCACGCCCACCAAGAGCCTGCCGCCGGGACAGGGGGGCGACGGGCCCGCGGAGACCCTCTTCCAGTTCTCGGACTGAGGCCCGGGCAGGCACGCTGCAGCCACCTCCGAGTGGGTGTCCCCGGGAGGACTGGCGGGTGGGCCCGTCGCAGGTAGGGGACCGCGAAACGGGACTGGAGGGCCTGGCGCCCGCGGCCAAGTGGCTCCACCCGCGCCTCTGCGCTGCGGGCCCTGTGGGTACCGGGCCCTGTGGGTACCGGGCCCTGTGGGTACCGCGGGCTGGGCGGAAGATGGCTGTATGCACAAGAAATGGTGTCGTGAGTTTTATGTGTGGCGTATACTTGTTTCCTGAAAGAGAATTTTAACTTATTGTTTTTATTTTATGATGATGTATAATGATAACTTGCTATTAATCTCTTTCTAAGAAGTTTTTTTAAAATATAAGAATTTAGCCCCACGCTCTGTCCAGGATTCACTTGAGCTGCATGCTAAGCTATGAATGTTTTTAATTTTGCACTGTTCTCTCCTGGCAATTTGTTTTTATGGATATTATGAAATAGTAAGGTACCTGTCTGTTTTAAATACTGCACTTTATAAAAGCGTGGGAAGAAAGCGAGCTGTTTTATAAGGTGCACCGTGGTGAGCCGTGTGCTGTGTGCCGTTTTCTGCCATCTGCTTGCGTTTGTCCTCGTGTCCCCCTTCCGCGTGGTGCACAGGTGGGAGCGGCGTGTCGCACAGCAGTCGCTAGCCACTTCACTCAGCGAGAGGAAAACCCAAAGGGAGATTTACTAACACTGTGCTTCATATGTGTACACTGTGCTGCACTACAGCGAGCCACCCCCTCCTGTAGTTCTATCTATGTACATAATATTTTAGAATCATACCTGTGACTTGTTTTGAAATTTTCCTGTTAATTTTTAAATCCAGAAAACATATTTTATAAACTTATGCAGAGCACTTTTATCGCTCAAAAGTTATGTATTCATAGAGAAGTGCTATGTGATAAAAACACTTCATTGAAAGATTGCTGCATTTTGAAAACACAATTAATTCATTCCCTATGCAAAAAAACACAGAAGTGATGGGATTTGTATGTTATCTTTCCTGTCAGAGCCATCACGGACTATCAACTGAGAAACGTGATCTTGCCTGTATTTATAGGAATCATGTTTAAAAACAGAATGCCCAGCGTGTTTATTTTGCAGTTTTGTCAGTGATAGCCTCTTGAGCATTAGTTTTGCATTTGGGCATGATATTTATTTATTCTTTTGTTGAAGTAATAGCAGCATTAATTTCAACCAGTTATGAATACTAAAGTTGCACTCTGTGTAATATATTTATTACTGAATCAATGTATATATTAATAGCGTAGGCTTAAATGGCAAATATTAAAATATTTTCAAAATAATGTATTCTGTTCATATTTTTGTCCTCGGCGGTTATTGGAAATAACTGTTTTCTACATGTCACTGGTACAGATGATGACATACATTTCATGAAATGAATGCTGCAAGTTCTGTGCTCCTAAATTTCAGTCATTCCTAGGAAATGTTGTGAGTGCGATGCCCCTGGGCACAGGTGTATAATAACCAAGATGTCTGTTTATGTCTCCATTGGTTACATTGAAAACGTGTAAGGGAGCCCTTCAAGTGCTGGTAGACAACATGGCTTAGAAAGTCGGAGCTCAGAGTGTGTGGGAACAGGAAGTGATCCCAAATGGTCAAGCAGCATCCGCAAGCGCAGGGATGTGATCAGCTCACCGTGACTCCTGGGAGGTGATGGGATTGAAAGACTTGACAGTGAAGCAGTAGCAAGGCAGTGGAGTGAGAGGAGGCAGAAGATGAGGCTGCTGGAATAAGCCAGAGTAGGCTCGTGGGAAACCCTGGTGGGACAGCCTCGCCAAGCTCTTGTTTCTTATTATTTAAAAAAAAAAAATGCTGAAAATTAAAATGTGAAATGCAAGGACTCTTTAAAAAAGATTTATGATGATGATGATGATGATGATGATTTTGGAAAGGCAGATTTACAAAGAGAAGAAATACAAAGAAAAAGATCTTCCATCCACTGGTTCACTCCCTAAGTGGCCACAATGGCCGGAACTAAGCTGATCTGAAGCCAGGAGCCAAGATCTTCCTCCAGGTCCCCCATGTGGGTGCAGAGTCCGAGGCTTTGGACCGTCCACTAACACTTTCCCAGGCCACAAAACAGGGAGCTGGAAGGGAAGTGGGGCAGCCAGAATACAAACCACTGCTGGTATAGGATCCTGGCAGATGCAAGGTAAGGACTTGATTATTCATAATAATTTATTTTGTTCTTTAAATTTTTATACGTTTAAGATGCAGAGAGAAGGAGCCCCTTTCTTCTGGCTCACTCCCCACGTGCCACCAACAGGACTGGGTTGAAGCTGACGCCTGGAACTCAACCCAGGTGACCTGTGTGGGTGACAGGAGCTCAGTCACATGGCTCTCGCTACCACCTCCAAGGGTTTTAGTACTGCACCGCTATCCCATGTGTTAAAGTAGTACCAGTGAAACGAAAGTGCTTCTCACTGTTTTGGCGATAAGAAAGGAAGTATATGGGTCTGCTTCACATTAAAAAATCTGAGAACTTGGCTGGCATGGATTGTGAAACGAAGAAGAAAACACACATGCAGTTGGGAGTTCGGTGTTTTGCTGTGTGGCTGGGAGGAATACGTAACGGATTATTGTATGCATCCTTAAACGTGGAACTGAAAACTGGCCGGAAGTTAGTAAAGCTGCCGTAAGTTGTGTGGCTCTTCTTCCACAGCCTCATAGGAAGATAAGGGTTTGTCTCACTGGAAAGCAAATGGACATAAAAAAAGGAAAAACATATGTGATCTTTGGGGAGTAAAAATTGAGTAAAAAATGTTGCCAAGCCCCAGCTCAAATGAGTGCCACTCCTATCCACTGCATTTGGGTTGTCGTGCTTGACTGTATCTGCCCAGGCCGTGCTCAGAACATAGTTCTTACAGCAGTTTTCTTTGCAGGCCCACACACATCACTGTACAACCCACGTGGATACCTCACACGCTATTTCAGCAAGTTTCCGTGTTTGATGTACATTCATAGATTGTAATGAACATCAGAGAAATAAAGACTGGGACAAAGAACAGAAAGATTTGAGATGAGGGGATGGCTTTGTGGTGTCCTTTGACCCTGGAGTACCATATGTGCATCGGTTCATGTCCCAGCTACTCCACTTCCCATCCAGCTCTCTGCTCATGTGCCTGGGAAAGCAGTGGAGGACGGCCCAAGTCTTTGGGACCCTGCCACCCCCTCCTGGCTTTAGGTTGGCCCAGCCCTGGCCGTTGTGGCCATCTAGGGAGTAAACCAGTGATGGAAGATCGATCTCTCTTTCTCTCCCCTCCTCTTCTGTCTCCTCTCTGTATCACTGCCTTCCAAATTTAAAAAAAAAAAAATCTTTTTTAAAATGTGTAGGATAGATGTAAGGAAATAATGATGCTATGGAAAAAAAATAATAAGTGGCTTTGTGTTTAAGGTGTGAATATGCTGTTCCAGTGACTATACACATGAAATCTCCTTCAAAACACTCTCCGGGGCCCAGCGCAGTGGCGCAGTGGCGCAGTGGTTAAGGTCCTTGCCTTGTACGCCCAGGATCCCATATGGGTGCCGGTTCTAATCCCGGCAGCCCCGCTTCCCTTCCAGCTCCCTGCCTGTGGCCTGGGAAAGCAGTCAAGGACGGCCCACAGCTTTGGGACCCTGCACCCGCGTGGGAGACCCGGAAGAGGCTCCTGGCTTCGGACCGGCATAGCATCGGCCATTGCGCTCACTTGGGGAGTGAATCATCAGACGGAAGATCTTCCTCTCTGTCTCTCCTCTCTGTATATCCGCGTTTCCAGTGAAAAAATAATAAAAATAAATCTTTTTTTAAAAAAAGACTATCCACGGTGGGGGGCAAAAGACTTAATTTAACATATCTGTGTAGGCTTGAGGATGGTTATTCTAGAAGCCCATGTGATAACTTTGTCCACTTGGTTCCCACACTCGTTCACCAACTTTGCCTGCTGTCCCACACCCTGACCACTGAAAGTGGCAGAGTCAGTCCCAGTGAAGGACCACAACTCCATTAGCTAGTGATCGTAGTTTTAGAAATTCATTGTGATATGACAGGTAGCATGCCCAGATCTTAGGCATTCAGCTTGAAGAGTTGTCGCATTCACACTAAGTGTGTGCTTCGTTGTGGGTTTCAGCATCCTAGTGACTGTAAATGTCCTGGTGGCCTAAGCCATTCTAACAACTGCTTATCTGTAGTTTAAGTTTGTGTTCACATATATGAAGCAATGTTTTATATTTTGATCAGCCATTTGGGTACCCTGACTTATGTACCTGTTCAGGCATATGTGTTGACTTGTCTGCCTTGTTTTTTTGTTGTTGTTTTTTGGTTTTTTTGCTTTTTTTTTTTTTTTCACTGATATTCAAAGGCCATTTGCTTCCTGAATAAAAGTGTTCTGCCTGATATATTATTATTATAGATGCCTGCTTTTTGCTTCCCTACTTTCCAAAATGGTTTCCTTTTGATTGTCAAAAATTATATCAAGTCTAATAGACCGGTCTTTAATGTAATGGTTTAGGCTGTCCTCGCCTGCCTTCCTAGTCCACAAGCAGGGAGCTGGATGGAAAATGGAGCTACTGGGATTAGAACTGGCTCCATATCGGATCCTGGTGTGTTCAAGGTAAGGACTTTAGCTGCTAGGCTATCGTGTCAGACCCATCAAGATATATTGAACAGTTTCATTAGGATTCCACCTTTTAATCAGAAGAAGAGATGCATACTTTTAAAAAATTATTTTATTATTCTATGATACAGTTCCATAGGCTCTGCAATTTCCCTCTCCCCTCCCCAATTCCTGCTCCTCCACTGATTTCCCCATGTCACTACAATAGTATAGTCTTTTTTTAATTATTATTTTATTTTTATAATCTTTACATAGTTGATTAGGGCACAAAGGGTCAAGGGCTACAGGAAAGTAGTAAGAGTATTGTTTCCACATTTTTTTCTGTGTCTGGGATAAGGGGCAGATAAAGGGAGAAGCTCCACCCAGCCTCCCACCCATGCCTGGTCCCCGATGTGGGGCATGCGCCAAGGGTCCTGCTCAAGTGGTTTTGATAATTCACCAGTTCTGCATTGCTACTGATCTCGCCACTCCA